AAAAGTCAATTGGCTTGTAAATGTTTTATTTTAGAAGCCATTGGGTCCCTAGTTTTTATTTTTAATTTTTTGTCTGGAGCCCTGCTGCATCTTTAAGGTACATGTCAAGCCCTTTATTCATTTAGCACTAAGCTTGACTTGTGATACTTTAATGGAAAGTCCATGTGTCCATGAGAGAGAGAGAGAGAGAGAGAGGTTCTTTAGGTCCAGCCGACATGCTGAGTTAATGGAAGTAATCCTACACCCTAATGAAATAACAATGGTGCTGGACAGGACACACAGACACAATTCCTCTCTGTCGCTCTCCTTCCCCTGTCTCTCTCTCTCTGTCTCGCTATTCGGATATGATGTACCCTCTAAATTCATGTGCAACTGTAGATCATGCAACACCGCTGTGACCTCCAGACGGCACATAGACACGCCTCAAATAAAAATTAGTTTAATCGCTGGCACAGATTAATTTTTTTCTAAATTTCTGTTAGTTTAGGGAGGATGGTGAAAGTCTTTAAGTGATTTGACCTTTGCCCTTTTAGGCGATGTTACAAAATTTAATTAAACATTCTGCATAACCATACTTTAGATCCATTAAACCTACCCCATACCTACTTAACAACTACCTTACTAACTATTAATAAGCAGCAAATTAGGATTTTATTGAGGCAAAAGTCATAGTTAATAGTTAGTTAAATACGAGAATTGGTACCCAAACTAAAGTGTGACCAAAAATGTGTTTGTCAATGTGTTATTTGTTTCCTCTTTTCCTACCTTATTAATGAAAGATGTATTGCTTCAATGGGATTTAAAGCCTTGCAAATGAAACTCTACTCTGTTAGTTCCAAATATTTATGATTGGACCCAGAGTATCCAGCCTCAGTGCAAAAAACAGAAGTCAGTATGTACACAAACACATAAATACACACTGTCCCACATGTACATAGACATGTCGGCTTATTTTCAAACTGACACTTATAATAAATGAGTCAAATGGAAGCATATTACTGCATTCTGCCGTACGAGGAAATGCCATAAACAATTTCCAGAGGTAACTTCAGTACCTTACATGCAAAGACACATGGAAACCAATACCAAGACGTCTACATCAGCAACAATTCTAAAATAACAAAAATGTCAGAAGTATTTTTGTCACACTTTCCTCTTCGTTCTCTGCCTTAGTTGATTGTTTCTGACTCACTGAATTCACTTTGTAAGTGTAAGGATTGTGAGCGTATTTTCTGGGCTCCTTTCTTCAGGTATTAGCAGTATTTATGAGGTGTTAAATATTTCTTCCCCGAGCAGGCAGCTGCTGGAACCATCAGAGCCCACAGGGCCAGGCCGAGTTCATTAACCTGCTTAAGGAGCCTGTCTTTGGGGCTCAGTGACCACATACGAGAATTGGTACCCAAACTAAAGTGTGACCAAAAATGTGTTTGTCAATGTGTTATTTGTTTCCTCTTTTCCTACCTTATTAATGAAAGATGTATTGCTTCAATGGGATTTAAAGCCTTGCAAATGAAACTCTACTCTGTTAGTTCCAAATATTTATGATTGGACCCAGAGTATCCAGCCTCAGTGCAAAAAACAGAAGTCAGTATGTACACAAACACATAAATACACACTGTCCCACATGTACATAGACATGTCGGCTTATTTTCAAACTGACACTTATAATAAATGAGTCAAATGGAAGCATATTACTGCATTCTGCCGTACGAGGAAATGCCATAAACAATTTCCAGAGGTAACTTCAGTCTCTCCCTTACATGCAAAGACACATGGAAACCAATACCAAGACGTCTACATCAGCAACAATTCTAAAATAACAAAAATGTCAGAAGTATTTTTGTCACACTCTCCTCTTCGTTCTCTGCCTTAGTTGATTGTTTCTGACTCACTGAATTCACTTTGTAAGTGTAAGGATTGTGAGCGTATTTTCTGGGCTCCTTTCTTCAGGTATTAGCAGTATTTATGAGGTGTTAAATATTTCTTCCCCGAGCAGGCAGCTGCTGGAACCATCAGAGCCCACAGGGCCAGGCCGAGTTCATTAACCTGCTTAAGGAGCCTGTCTTTGGGGCTCAGTGACCACAGTCCTCCCCTGCCTGCCTTCACTACACTTATCAAGAGTATGGTTACAGCACTTGAACTACTAATGAAATCTATTAAATAATGTCTTTTCATTACAGTCGGCCATTGATGCATGAATCACTTTTGAAAATGCAGAGGAGAACTACTGCATGTTATACTTCACGGTCAAGCCACAGTACATCAGTTACACTCGAATAACAGACACTGGCGCTTTACAAATGAGACTCAGACTCCTTTTAGCCTTTAGAGATGATAGTCATATTTAAAATTCAGTCACCATTTACTCATCTTCATGTCATTCCAAACTTGAATGCATGGTTTCTTCTGTGGAACACAAAAGAAGTTGTTTTGCACGACATGCGGGTGAGTAAATAATGACAGAATTTGAATTTTTGGGTGCATTTTGGGTCCATTTCTTAAATGGACTCATCGCTATAAAAAATGCATATCTGAGACCACAGATGAAGATTTTATGTAGCACTTATTGTTTTTCATGCACTTATTGCACAATATCTGGGCAACATGGGCCTATGTGCGCTGTGGGGGAGGGGCATAAACCGTGCGTCTTCACGCCAGCGAGCCAGATGCAACCCCATTCGCTCCCCTCTTGGTGTATTTTTATTCTTTGTTTGACAGGCATCTTCTGGTTCTACTGTGTCAGCAGTGTGCAGCCAAAAGTTTTGCACAAGTCTATAAATAAGACCCCGCTGAGCGCATGCTAGCCCACCGCCCAAGTACAGCCTGCCTGCACTTGCTCTTATAGACCTTTGTACTGATTTAATTTCTTTCTTTTAATTAGTAGCCTTTAATCGTCCAGTTCCGTTGAACTGACTTTTTATTCCAATAAATTGCACTTAAATACAAAGTGCTTTTAAAATGACATGAGTAGAGGTGTGTGCTCATCTCCCTCGTGTTTTAAAAGAGTGGGGAAATGTTGTTTCTTTCATGATGTTTATGGAGCCAAATTCTCATGCAGCATGTGGAGTTAAGCTGGGCCTATGTGCGCTGTGGGGGAGGGGCATAAACCGTGCGTCTTCACGCCAGCGAGCCAGATGCAACCCCATTCGCTCCCCTCTTGGTGTATTTTTATTCTTTGTTTGACAGGCATCTTCTGGTTCTACTGTGTCAGCAGTGTGCAGCCAAAAGTTTTGCACAAGTCTATAAATAAGACCCCGCTGAGCGCATGCTAGCCCACCGCCCAAGTACAGCCTGCCTGCACTTGCTCTTATAGACCTTTGTACTGATTTAATTTCTTTCTTTTAATTAGTAGCCTTTAATCGTCCAGTTCCGTTGAACTGACTTTTTATTCCAATAAATTGCGCTTAAATACAAAGTGCTTTTAAAATGACATGAGTAGAGGTGTGTGCTCATCTCCCTCGTGTTTTAAAAGAGTGGGGAAATGTTGTTTCTTTCATGATGTTTATGGAGCCAAATTCTCATGCAGCATGTGGAGTTAAGCCTGCAGATCAACAGCAGCCCCCTGCTAGTTACATTCCACTCAACAGCATGAAATTCTTGTTTTCTTTCTGTAACAGTGTGTCAGTCAAACGCGGCCCAACTTGGCCCTCAGGAGCATCATTTTTCAGTGCTTGAGGAGGAGTCTGGCTAATATAGCAGTAATCACTGAGCACATTCAAGCAGTGAATTACTTTATAGTAATATAATACTTTTGCTTTCTGTTGCTCTCTTTTAGCCTTTCTTCCTCACTCATTGCATTTCTTTGCAAAATACAGGTTTTAGAGGTCAAAGGTAAAAAAAACTTTTACTCACCCACAGTCTGTTCACTCTCTGTCTGATGTGTATTGCTCTTAAACCTATACTTAGATTCTCTAAATATTTTTTGCTATTTTTTCTGCACAACATTTGCAGAGACTACCTGGCCATTATTTAAATATTTTTTTTAAGACCAATTCTCAACAGCATGAAATTCTTGTTTTCTTTCTGTAACAGTGTGTCAGTCAAATGCGGCCCAACTTGGCCCTCAGGAGCATCATTTTTCAGTGCTTGAGGAGGAGTCTGGCTAATATAGCAGTAATCACTGAGCACATTCAAGCAGTGAATTACTTTATAGTAATATAATACTTTTGCTTTCTGTTGCTCTCTTTTAGCCTTTCTTCCTCACTCATTGCATTTCTTTGCAAAATACAGGTTTTAGAGGTCAAAGGTAAAAAAAACTTTTACTCACCCACAGTCTGTTCACTTTCTGTCTGATGTGTATTGCTCTTAAACCTATACTTAGATTCTCTAAATATTTTTTGCTATTTTTTCTGCACAACATTTGCAGAGACTACCTGGCCATTATTTAAATATTTTTTTAAGACCAATTTGTGGCTTAGGGTGGGCATTCGTGGTTCATACTTTGAGAATTTTTTAATTGTTTAAAAATGATGATGGCTTTGCCCATAATATCTCTCGTCTCATGTGAGCTGCAACCGTACAAGCATCAACAACTTCCATGCAACTATAGGATGTTTTCCTATTTCTTTCTCACTGTTGGCTGAATTTCAGCATGACTTTTTCCACCCTCATGTTAGGACATGTTTTAAATATTTGACTGAATAAACCGAAGCTATTTTAGTGGTTTGGCTACTCTAAGTGTTGATAAATGTTAATTAGAGGAGCTCTCTTTTCTTGCGGAAGTGGAAGTCCAATATGAGAGTGAATCTGATCCCAAGACAAAGGTTTGACTTGGTTGTTGTTGTGTGGTGGTGGTAAATAAAACTGTGCTGATCACTCGGACGAAACTATTAATAAGAGCCTCATCCTGGCCCTTGTGCTGTGCCCCATTACTGGCTTGGGTGGGAGCCAACAGCAGCACCCCGCATGGCAGCTGCGCGCATGCGCATCAATGACCACTCTTGCTCCGCCGCTACAAGAGAACTTTAATAATGAAGTAGACCACGGAGTGTGCGTGTGCTCACGTTAACTTTAGGAGCTTAAATTAAGGGGGAAACACGGCTAGCGCAAGACAGCGCTCCTCGGAGTTTGGGTTATAGTGGTGATCTGTCGGTTGGAGCTTTCCGCTCCGGTGCGGCCAGTGCAGCTCTCATGAACTTAGGGAGGACTTTACCGCAAGCTTCACTGACAGCGCGTGCACTGACTGGCGCGAGCTGTTCCTCGCGCTTCACGCAGCTCGACCACTTGAATATTTTTGGGTGAGCATGTCAACAGAGTGAATGCGAACGGACCTTCTGGAGAGTTTGGAAATCGTAGTAACGCACAACTCATAAGAGTAAGTACCCATTTTCAGTAGCAATAACATATGTTGCTTTTGGGAAAATGTAAAACTTTTGCTGAATATAACTTATATGTGGCAATTTACAACGCGTAAGAGTTTGTTGGAGCACCTGCTCACGCCTGATGCTTTCACGTGATTTAAACGTCTGAGAAAATTGGTGCTCATAAACGGTGAACGGAATTGCAAGTTATAGCATTAGAATATTATTTTTTTACCACCAGTTATCACTTTAAAATGTCAACACACAAAATGCAAAGTCTAACTGCTGCCTGAAAATTATTAAATAGTACAAGTGGTACCAAAGTGGCCACTTAATATTGTACTTTTTAGAACTTTTTTCCCAAGAGAATCGATTTGAAACTGAAAACTCGAGTAGAAATGACAGTTATATGGATGGAGGACAATGATGCTTTTTTCACTGTTAGCGCACTATAACACGTTCACTCTTCTATTTAAGTGCAATGATTATATTGACAAATATTCAAGTGGTCTTTTGAAGTTGAGTTTGTCGGGTGATTCCCGTATCAGTTTGACTCGCGCGCACCTTGTTCGTTTTCCCATGCACGTGGAGTTTGTGTTTGTATTTGATACGGAGGAAGCGGGAATATCATCCCGACACTGAAGCCGCTTCACTGCGCGTTGGCCATTGGTCGCTTTCTCGCGCTGTCGATAGCAGCTCGAGCCGATACCGGAGAAGGAGCCCGGATTAGATTGCACACTTAACACGAAACAATTCACAACACACAGGTCGCTCTGGTGGCTGGTAATAAGATGGAGTGTACTAGCCAACAATTACATAAGAAAACATCAGTGACCTCCTATTTGGCCATCTCCAGGCCTCAAACTTTGGGGGAAAACTCGAGACTGTTTTACATCTATTTAAAAAAATTGCAGGACACTTTAATTGATTGACTGATTTACAACATACAGTTTTGGACTGAATTGTGGGACATCATTTTAAACGCTTTTTTCCCTAAGTATTTTGTAGAGTCTCTAGATGAAATCTAATAATAGCCTTTGTTTTGATCACATACAGTTCTCTTTAGTAGATTAATTATTAAATCACAAAAAAGTGTTTTTTACTTTAAAACAAGAAAAAAATCATTCCTGTTATCAGAATGTTATTTTGAGAGTTACACGTCTGTAAATGGGTCTTGGTGCATTACTGCTTTTGCCAGCCATATTGAATGTATGTTGTCATTAATAAAAACAATAATAATAATAAAATGACATAGGCCTATGTAAGAGGGTAGTCATGTAGAATTGGGTAAGGGTCAAAGGTAACCACCTATGGTGGTTTGGATGTAACATCACACCCTGAATGGTTAAAAATGTGTTTTTATGATCTGTGCACTTTGCATTTTATAGCTATTTCACAACAGTTTACGACTAACTCTTTAGTAAAACTAGGAAACAGTAAAATAAGTTACACCGTGCATACGTTTAGCCAGGAAAGTAGGCCTACACTGTAACACTGTTGAAAATGAAGGTTCTTAAATGGTTCCTTGTGGCATCTGAATGATCAATAACATTCTTCACTACGTACAGTTCTTGAGTTGAGCTGTGCTTTTTTGGAATCTTGCACAGACTAGATGGTTTTCTGAAGAATTAAAAAGCTCTTCTAACTGGAACCTTTTGGAAGTTAAAAGTTTCTCACAGGGTGGAGGAGAAAACATTTAAATTAAATAGTAAAATCGGTTATAATAACAATGAATCTATGAAATAATGAATCTACACGTCATGCATTAATTAAAAAATATTCCCATAGGCAAAATCTTTTGGGCAATTTTAAACAATTTGTTAAAGGTCCAGCTTGTTTATTTATTAGTAGTAGGCAGTGTGTTTTGACAATGGAGTGAGCGCTGATGATTTAAAGGGAGGAAAACGAAAGCTTTGGCGTATTTGGCTTTCCTGTGCGTTGCGTTTGTGCTGCGGGTGTGTCGCTCCGTGTGCTTACTTGACAATAACAGTAAAGCGTGCTTTGCTACTTTGAGACGTAATGATCTTCTCTAATTTACCATCCCCAGAATGTTTCCTTGTATATTGTTTTCCTTGTTTGACTTAATCAAATGTTTTGGTCAGGGACAATTGTTGCATATCAGTGGCTTTTGATTTGAAAATGCGTGTGTTGACAGAAGGGACATAAATTTCAGCTCCTACCCATTAGATGGTTAGTGTAATGTGTCTTCTGCTGCTTCGCTGTCCGTCTGTTTCATTGTGTGTGTGTGTGTGAGAGGACAGTAGGCTCAGAGGGCACTGAGTGATAACAGTAAAAATCAATGCTGCTCAGCTCATTCCCCCGCCTGAGCATTAAAGGCTAGAATTTCAGAACACAGCTTCACCAAGCAAATGAAACATTCAAATGATCTGCTCTTCAAACTGTGCCCTTCAACTCTCTTTCTCTCCCTTCCACTTACACACACACACACACACACACACACACACACACACACACAATCTTGTATACATATGCTTGTGGGAACTTTCCATTTACATCCATTGTTCTTAGTACAGGTCATTGTAATCAATATAGGCTACCATAAACTAAAACATATTCCCAAACAGAAGCATCATGACCATTCAAACGGACCCTTCAGGTTTTTGAGCAAAGTCAAAAATTGTTTCAATGAAGATAGAAACAGGTGTTTGCCTAAAATGATTTGACAGAAATATTCAATTCACATAAATTTGGGCAGTTGAGTTGAGTTGCTCCTTTCTCAGATAATTTATTTTAAAATGAAAATTCATTGCATATTCTTGGTCCACTTTGTTCCCCAAAACATTAAAAAAAAAAATAATTAAGAGCCGCTCTTTTCCATACAACAAGGTTTTTTTTTTTTTTTTTTTTTTTTTTTACTGTTTGTTGTTCTGGAGATATGTAAACAAATTGAATTTCCAACAGGTTAGCAAAACCTGTCCTTTCACACACAAACACAAGTTTAATGTTAAAAATACAGCAAATCACAGGCAGGTTTTTAAAACACAGTTCTGGTACCTGTGGCAGGACAGAAAATAAACCCATTCTTCTCATCCCGAGGCTTTCAAGGTCTTCCAAAGAGTTTTTGAATAAAAGTGCTTTTCATTACGGAGGCCTCAGGAGGTTTCAAAGTAGTTTACAGAAGTTTCAAGCTTTTAAATGACGGGAAGGATGGGAAGAGAGAAAGAGAAAGATGGAGGGTGGGATGGGGTGGAAGGGGCTTCACTGGGGGACTCAAAATCATGGTTAAGTGTTTTTAGTGACTACTGCCATGCTAGCATCACTGTGACCTGGACAGCTTGGATTTTTGTGTGTACTGAGTGCACTTGTGTGTATGTATGTGTGTGTTACATTGATTACATTTCTCTCAACCCATTGTTTAATGTTTACTTCTGTAAATTATATTTACTTCAGCCTAGCTGGCTATGATACAGTGAAGTTACCAGACTTCTTCCTTCCCCTCCTACACACATATACCCACAGACACAAAGAGAGAGCGAGAGAGAGGGATGCCTAGCGTTGTATTGTGTTTATGGTGATTTTAAAGCATCCTTCATTTGCAGGTGTCTGGACTGTAGTCGAGGGGAGTGGAAGTTCATCTGATGGAGAATACACAGGAGCTGAATGAACAGAGCGTAAGTGAAATACAAATCAAGACTATTCAGATGTGTTTTACAACATTATGGCTTTACTTTATCTGTCAGAAGATTATCTTAATTTCTTTCATTGTCTGTGTATTGAATTTATCACTCCACTATTTCAGAAAATTCAGAACAGGTCAGTGTATTGTGCAGTATCCTTTAAAGACTCTGTATGTGTTGTATATTTGGAAATGTATAGATAAAATACCATCCAACTGACTCTCTGTACCAGTGATTCTCAACCACGGGTGTGTGTATCCCAGGAGGTTCTTAGGAAGATACTGGTTTTACTTTGTTAAAACCTATCCACCTTATTTTTAATGAAAGAGCAAGCATGACCATTTGTAACTTGAATGTGCAAGGCTTCTATACTGATAAACGCACTGATTTGTAGCACAAATATTTTACCATTAACTGCACTGTTATTCTTTTAGTTATTTAATTATATCTAATGAATCGAAAGTCTTTCTCATTTGCAGGAAATAGCTTACTTCCACAATGAAAAATAAGGTATTATAAATATTTACTGTATATCAGCACTCTTGGAAAGTTTATGGTCAATCAAATTCAAGGACCAGAACTAACTGTATATTATCAATTATTTTATTATTTGTTTCTCAAGAAAGTTTCTCCAAAACTCATCTTTCTATTCATCAAAGAATCCTGAAGAAACTCTTTTCATCATGGATAATAATTAAAATGTTTCTTGAGCAGCAAATCAGCATATTTGAATGATTTCTGAAAGATCATGTGACACTGAAGTCTGGAACAGTTTCCTTAACTGTAAAAATATTTCACAATATTACAGTTTTTACTCTGTTTTTGATCAATAAATGCAGCCTGGGTGAGCATAAGAGACTTCTTACATAAATATAAAACTTTAAACATGACTTGTCCCTCAGAAATGGACAGGGGCAGTAGTTGTATGTGTGTATATACATTTCTTTAGGATGTTTGTATGTTTCTTTTGTTTCAATACAGATGTTAGGTATTCAAATACTAGCGTTGAATTTGTTTCTCGAGAAAGTTTCTCCAAAATTGCCCCACAAAAAAAGTAAATAATGGTCACTTTTTAAGTAAAATGAATGATAATGCTGAATGATTTCCAGTAAAGTATCAGTTGAGGAACACATGCCTGGTTTAGTGTTGCTGTGTTGCAGTATCTAAGGCAAAAACGGTTGGGAAACGCTGCTCTAAATAATGTGATAATTGGAAAGTTTGATCGTGCGGTTTGAAGTGTGAACGTGTTTGTGTGCATGAATGAGTGTGTGTGTGGAAAGGCCACCCAGGTGTGTACTGAGCAGCGTTAGGTCTTTAATACACAACAGATGTGAGCTGAAGTGTCGAGCACAGTAGCCATATGGCCACTACGAGACTGAGCAGTGTCACATACGCACACACACTGACAGTACAACACACACACTGCTGAAACCATTTCAGCCTGTTTTCAGTGCATTTGTGTTCTTGGAAGACAGTCTGATAATTTAGTTTTGCGGAATTTTTTATTTATTTTTTTTACATATTATTTAGATAACATTCGATTAATGATTAAAACAATCTTGAATATGTGTTGCGACATCTCGTGCTTGTGCTTTTCATATGCGTACATGAGCACTCTGGAAAAGACAGATAGGCGTCCATAATCCAGATGAGGACAGATACCGATCTGGGGGTGTTTGGGGTAATGGAAGGAGAGGAAGAGGGAGATTGAGGTGTAGGTGTAGGTGTGGGTGTGGGGGGGGGGGGTATTTTGTGACTCAGGGGATCAATGCTTTTGGTTCTGGAGGAAAATAGCAGAGAAGTAAAATGAAAAGGGGGTGTAGCTGCAGCCTTTTCCTCTGGTGCAGTCTGTGCCCCAGAGCAGAGACCACAGACAGAGAGAGAGGACTCAGGTTACACTCACTCACACACACACACACCTACAGAGAGGGAGGCAGAGAGAGGAGAACAGAAAGCACGGCTTTACGTTCACATGTTTACACCTCCCAATTTAAGTCTAATCAACAAATAACGGAGATTACAGGTCGTGAGTCTGTTGAAAGCTGTTGAACTGACGCAGTAATATTTATGAATCTTCTGTACTGTGAAAAGAAGTAGGTCTTGCTTTATAGCAACACAAGCAGTCTGTGTTTAACGTCAAAACAAACAGATAGAAGTAGCAGCTCAAATACAGGTATGAACTGAAGTTTGGTGTCTCCCTGATGTAAAAAAAGGGCTTGTTATAGATTTTTCTCTTTAAACTTGTTACAAAATTCTCATCGTCCTGATGGTTATTGGTTATTTACACCTGTTGCTTGTCTTTTGCACTGTAAATCGACTCTCGTCTCACTTGAGTTAGTAGTATTAATTCACTTGTTCAGGCCATGTGTAGAAGATACACAGAAATGAGTTAAGACATATCACATATAACAGCTTTGTAAACAGTGAGTGGTTCTTTATGCACGATGAACGTCCATGATATTTCAAGTTTGGGTACTGAGGTTTTAAAAGGATGGTGAAAGACAAATTAAGCTATATAATTACATAAAATACACTACTGTTCAAAGGTTTGTTGTCAGTAAGTTTTTGTTGTTGTCTTAATCTTCATTTAAGCAAATAACCACTTACAAGTGACACTGAAGACTTCTTTAAATTCTTTAAAAATCCGATCCTAAACTTTTTAATAATGCTTAAATAATTGTGACTTACCTCTTAGTTTGAGAAAGAAACAAAAAAATAGTTTTGACAGCATACAGTGGAAGTCTATAGGACAGTCGTTGGAAGTTGCCCCATAGACTTCCACTGTAAGTGCATAACTGTTAACATTTCTTTAAGATCCTTCTAGATCTTGTGTTTAATACAAATGTTAGGTATTCAAGTACTGACGTTGAGTTTGATGAGACTAAATTGTATCCAGTCACTTTTGAATCGGTACAAGCTGTCAAAACAAGCTGCAGGTTTGAGCAGACTGTATTCATTCCTGAAGCTGGATGTAGATGATGTTTTTACAGTCATGCTGAGTCATTGATTAATAAACACAGAGATTATCTGACGGTTCTCCTGGCGATCTTAAAAACTGCATTAAGTTGTGGAGTACAATGGCACTAATGTGCACTATGATGGTCCTTGTGTGCAGTTTTGGGTTGAGTCTATCTGACAGCTTTGGGTCCAGCCTGAGCACATTATTTAACAAGCACGTCGACATCTGGGAAGCAATTCATCATTTAATTAAATGCTGCTGAAACCTGGCCTTTCGTTAATGAGATTAATTTAAATAATTAACGAAAAGCTGACACAAGCACAAGAACTCATGAATAATTAAGCAGCATTTTTTCTGCTGCAATCAGAGGGGAAGGGAGCACTTTAATGCTAGAGTGCTTTTTTTATATAAAGTTTCAGCTCATTTCTTAAGATGATACACACACACTCCAATGCGCACGTATAGAAACTTGTTTGTGTGTGTAAACACTCTGGTTGCTGTACAAAGATACATGAATCAATGAGCCAGTGGAAGAGAAAGACAGCGTCACTCACGAAGTTGCACACAAGATCATACACACACATACACACTCATTCAAAGCTGCGAAGGTGTCTCTATCTATAGGGCTTGGCCTTGTGTCCTATTTCCCTCTGACCCCTTTCCCCGGCGATATATACCATTCGAATCTCATACACCACGTTGACATGCAAACGGAGCAGTCCAACATATGGGCTGCTGCTGTAACTGGTCATTTTAGTGGATCTGACTGATCAAAAACATATTTGTTCCAGAACGCTGCTGTATGACTGACTATGACTGTATTTTTATATTTTGCTGACTGAATTGACCGTTTTAAAACGATACTAGCATCTAATGGAGGCAATGTACAGTAGCATCATGTTAAAATGTGCATTTACTAATGACATTGCAGAAATGCATTTGTATTCAGTCGTTTTTCATTTATTTTAATATGTTAACTGAAAATATTCACTAACAGGAGGTCGCTGACATAAAGCTAGTAGTATTTAGCTGGTCGTGTCAACATGTCTTTTGTTTACAACTTAAATTATAATTATTGTTATTTTCTTTTTTTTACAATGAAAAATTATTTTACTGATATACTGGTATAACTTGGATACTCTTATGTGAGTGTTTTACACATTATTTTGTATGTAAAATAATTAATAAGGAACCTTTACTAAGATATAAAATAATGTGTAAGAGATTCAGAAATTTTTGTGGATGGATTGTACCAAATAAATATGTGCATTTGCTATATATATATATATATATATATATATATATATATATATATATATATATAATATAGAG